TCACTCCAACACACACGATGGCTGCCTCCATGTGGTCAAAGATCCTGCCCCCATGTGGACACAAGATGGCCACCATAAGATGGCCAGCAGGGGAGAGCAGTTGGGAGGGACCAGGCCTGCAAGTGAGGCAGTTGGAGACGATCAACCCTGTAGGGGAGGGCACTTAGGGGTGACCAGGGCAACAGAGGAGGGAAGTTGGGAGCAAACAGGCTGGCATGCGATTGGTTAGGGGGTAGGCTGGCAGGCAGAAGTGGTTGGGGGCAATCAGGAAGGCAGGAAGGCGAGCAGTTGGGAGCCAGCAGTCCTGGACTGTGTGAGGGATCCCAGATTGGAGAGTGTACAGGCTGGGCTGAGGGACACCCCTGCCCCCTGCATGAATTTTGTGCACCAGGCCTCTAGTAAAATATATACTAAAAAAGAAAGAAATATCATACCTCTGATAAAGTGTTGAATATTTATATTTTCGTGGAAGTGCCACTATCACAATTATTTTTCAGGTATATGATTTAAAAAATAATTATATATTCATATTGATAAACTTAAAAAAAATTTTTTTCTTCTTTGGCCAGCATATATCAAAGAGAAAATATGTTCTATATTCCCTTATTACATTCTGAATGGTTATTATTTCTATGATTTCATTTTTTACCTTTAAGTCCTTAATTCAACTGAAACTTATTTTAACAAAAAGTATAAGGAAATGCTTATACAATATTAATTATTTTTCAAAGAGATATTTTTTCTATTATTCATTAGAAAACATGTCTTTATCCACCAATTTGAAATATTAATTTAATCATATGTTTAATACTGAAGTTAATATCTTGAAAGTGTAAGATTGAGTTAGGGTGGGCACTTCTTTAATTATCTATACAATAAAAGCCTATGCAACCATTACGACTGGTGGACCAAACAACTGAATGACTGGTTGCTATGATGATGTACTGACCACCAGGGGGCAGACACTCAATACAGAAGATGCCCCCTGGTATTCAGTGCGCTCCCACAGCCAATCTCCCCCAGCCAACCAACATCCCATGGGAGGTCCCTCTCCATGGCTGGCTGGCCTAGTGGTTAGTGTGCTCCCACAGCCAACCTCATGCAGCCAGCCAACCTCCTGTGTTCCCTCTGCCAGGCTGGCAGGCCAGCCCCATTCAGCAGACAACCTCCTGTGGTCCCTCCCTCCCAGACAGCTCTGATCAGCCTCAATGGGCCAAGCAAAGGGACCCTACCCATGCACGAATTCTTGCACTGGGCCTCTAGTGTTTAAAAATCTCCTTTATAGTACTTCCAAACAGTTATTGTCACCTTTCTTTCACATATATCCAAGCTAATATATCCATTCATATAATATTTTAAACCAAGTTGAGGACAAATAATAATGGACTAATTATGACTGCAGAGTTGCATACTTGCTAGGTACATAATAGATGCTCAATAAAAAGAAGCCAGACTGAATGGAAATGAACTTTAGTTATAGTCTTAAACTATAAAATGAAAGACTTATTGTTTTGTTTGAACAAAATCTGTAGAGTCCTCCTTTTATGGTGTGTCATCTACATTAAAGCTACACAGTGTCTCTGATAGCTTATTAAAAAGAGATTTAGCCTATACATTATTTTTCTGGATTCAGTATTTACAATAATAAATAAATAAGCCGGACTAATTTGAAAGTGAAACCATTATTTCCAAGTTTGATCACAATTCAAAACAGAATTTAAAGCTTCTTATTCTATATTTTAATCAATAAGCATATTCACTAAGAATATGTAATACTATATCTTGACCTTCAGACACTTCCATCTTAGTTGTGTGATTATTTTTAGGATCCACCTTTAGTCCCTCTAAGAGTTATCAAAAGATAATAGTTGCAGGAATAGCTTGAACAAAAAGTGGAAATTGATTGGAATCTTGAAGGAGGGAAGCTCTTAATTAAGAGAGTTAGTTTGGGGGAAAAATAAGCAGTTTCACAGGGAAAATAAGTGTTGGCTTTTTCAAGCCATAAGTCCCACATTGTGTCTGGATCTGATGATTTTTAATTTTTCTTCAATTATTTACTTATTTTTATTTTAAATTATTTCTTTCCCAATTAGTGCCAAAAATTATTCAAAGCAGCTCACACACTATATATTGATATATTCAGTGTAACATATCTGTTTTTAAGTTAGTAAAGTGTGAAAAGGGAAAAACAAATTTAGAATTCCAAGTCATTGTGGAGAAATGTAATATCAAAATTCAGGTCATTAAGATCTTACATCATTATTAAAGCTGAATTGTACCTATATTCTAAGATTCTCAGTGGCGAAAGCAAATAGGGAAATAATGAATTATAGGATTCATGTTGCCCATAAGATAAAAGCTACTTAGGAAGTGAAACAATTTTCAGAGTACTAGGTCTCATACAGAAGATACTGAGCGATTCACTGGGCTTTATACTCAATGGCATCCCAGGAATAGATGTGATAATGAATATCTTAGGCTAGGGGTGTTGAACTCAATCAGAGAAGGGGCCAAAATCTAAAATCCAGCCTAAATCGCGGGCCGAATGGTTTACTGAACAGTCATAAACTGTCATTGTGATGGAAACGCAGCGGAGTGCAGTGATGACAGCGCGGTGCGGGCCACATTGCAAGGCCTGGCGGGATGGATTTGGCCCGCGGGCCTTGTGTTTGACACATGTGTCTTAGGAGTTCTTGTAGTGTGCTTCCATGTAGGTGGAAGGCATAATTTAAAAGCCAAATTAAGTGAAATGGACCTGAACTGGGGCATGCTAAACATTAGAATACAAGTATACAAAGTCAGTGATATTCTTCTTTAATACTAGGATAAAATCTTGGTTCTTTAACAGACTTTGTTAAATAAAATCCTGACGGTTGTTCAAAAGGAGCTTTGGGGATATATGACCAACTAGAGAACATATATCCCAATAAAAGCTTATAAGTTACACAAACACAGTAAACACCAAACTAAATGCTTCTTTTATGAATTGAATTTGGCTCGCAAGGCTGACAATTCTCAACCTACCATAGATGGATCAGTTGACAAATTCCATGTGCAAAGGGTCTCTGTATGCTATCTTTTTCACTGTTGTATCACCAGCTTTTAGCATGGTGTCTGACAGTTGATATTCAATAATAAATACCTGAGGAATAAATGAGTGAATAAATGAATGAAGTCAATGTCCACAGATCTATTATATTTTTTACAGCCTGGCTTTTGCAAAGAGCTGTGCAGTATAGAGAGGTTCTTGGCTTTCAAGAACATGAATCATGAATATTTTCTTTACCCATTAAAGAAGATCCATATAAATTAAAGAGGTAGACTTCACACACTTTTAAGAAAATTAAGAAAACAGATTAAGAGCTAACATTGTCCCCAGAAGAAATAGCATCATTATTTAGGGGGGTTATGAGGCTCAAATCAGAAAATAAAGTTAATGTATATGAACAGTGTCAAGATCTACATTTTTGTAAATGTTTGTACAATTAGCACCTTCTGAAAGTTTCCAAGCCCTGTGCTTCCCCATTACTTGATGCCTCCAATATACCTTAGAAACCTTGCACTACTCTATGTTCTCTCCATTCTGCAGTCCCTTTGCTTGGGGTTGTCATAATAACCCTTCTTTCTTCTTGTTTTCCCTGTCTGTTTCCTCCTTTGGGGTCTATATTTCAAAACACAGGGTAGTTAGGTCCATTAATTCTGGGTTGAAACACCAATTCCACCATTTATTAGCTGTTTGATATTAAACTAGTTACATTACCCTAATTCATTCCTAGCATCATTATCTATAAAATGAGAATAATATTTTTACATTTATATCATTATAAAGTTAAAAGAGATAATAGGTAATGTATATGCAATAACCAGTAGTCAGCAAATGACAGATGTTAATTGTTCTTATGATTATTCTACCAGAACATTCTGTCTAAAGCCTTGACCATTGACTATGCCTACTTAAAACCTCCAGTGATTTCCAGAAGCTCGTATCTGCATAGTCCTGTAGGTAATTTTATTTATAGTCTGGCTTCAGTTTCCCTGTACACCTTCACCCCCCACCATCCTTACCTCCTTGGTTTATATCCTAGGATATAAACCAAGTCTTTTCAGGGTTTAGCTATTCAAGCAGACCAGTTTTTTAAGTCTCTAGGATTTGGCACATGTTGTTCCTTCCTTCTGGAATGCCTCTCTCTCCCTGCTCCGGCAAAAAGATTTCTCCTCTGAAACTATATCCTACTTCTCCCTGGTGGAATTAACAGCCCTCCTGTCACCACAACACTGTCTAGAGATCTATATTTAATCTGCCTATATTTTTATCCCTCTGTCTGATTTGTAAATTTCTCTAGGATAGGAATACTCTTTAATGAACAAACACCTAGCCCAGGGCTTCCCTCCCAACTTGTGCTCAATGACATTTATCGAATTGCATTGTTTGAATTTAATTTAATTCACACAACTGTTGCTCCTACAGAACCCCAATCTACTTGCAAGCAGAGGTTAGACCCTCTGGGTGTTTCAGAGCCCCTTCTGGGTTACTCCATACGAGCTAACATACTGGCAATTTATGGGTTCCTCACTAGAACCCAGAAGAAAAGTGGAATTTGGGGCCAGTGGCCCTAGAAAAAAAGAACAATCTGCCCAGAGATGCTGTCTCATTGCTTCTTCCCCCTTCCCACCTCCACCCTGGGCTGCAGAGACTCAAAGGGGGCGGGAGGAAAGGAAGCGGAAAAAACTGACCCGCCCCTCCTCTGCTCCCTCCCACAGAGAAGGGCTACTCCGGCAGGGATGTCTTAAAAAGCCTCCCAGGGGGACCAGATTCTTGGAGTCCTCAAATATTCCTGGGTTTCCTCTGCCTTTCCCCTTCTTCTCTGGCTTTCCCTCTTCATTCACTTCATTCTCCACCCGACCCCACCGCCAAGCTTTCCTCCCTCCCCCTTCCCATCGCGCTCACGCTCACACACACACACACACACACACACACACACACACACACACACGCAACCAGAGACCCGCCTTCTCTCCAAACTCCCAGTTCTAGGACCACTGTGACTGTTACCGAAAGGTGCCAATCACAGGCAGCCTTAGCCAGATGCCTGGGAGTTGAGTTAAAAAAAAGAAAAAAAGAAAAAAAAAAAAAAAAGCAGGTTGAGGGCAGAGAGGAAAAAGAACATAGCAACCTCCCATCCCCAATACACACACATGCACCGTAGGATTCCCAGCAAGCACACAGCAGGATACCTCCGACCGCTCTGAGGACGCGGAGCACCGCAAACAGGAACTTTAAAGGGATTGAAATCTGTTGCCTGTTCCACTAGGAATACTGTTCGCCAGGCACAAGGTGTCTTTCGGCGGAGAGCACCCTCTGCGCATGCGCAGGTCCATTCGGGAATTACTGCCCTGCCGCCGACTAAGTTGCATTCCTTGAATCTTCGCCGAAAAAGACAATTCTTTAATCAGAGTTAGTAATGTGGACAGTGCATAATCGGGAGAGTCTGGGGCTTCTCTCTTTCCCTGTGATGATTGCCATGGTCTGTTGTGCACACAGGTGAGCTATTTTTTTTTTTTCTTTTTCCTTCCTTCCTTCCTTAGTGTTTTTCTTGTGGCATGCTTGCCGGATCCTGTAGCTTGTTCTTCAGGGGGGGGTAGGTGTGCCTATCTATTTTTTATGTCAGCTCGCAGTTTGTGCTCCTTTCTGAATACGGTCCCCCTACTTCTTCCCTTCAGCGCCAACGAGCCCAGCAACATGTCATACGTGAAAGAGACAGTGGACCGATTGCTCAAGGGATATGACATTCGCTTGCGGCCGGACTTTGGAGGTAAAGCTTCATTTTTTTTTTTTTTCAACCTGTAACCCACACCTCGTTCTCCTTTTCCTGACAAAGATGAATGTCAGGGAGGAAAAAAAAAAAGAAGCATGTAATGTTCGTAAGCGTGCACTGTGCCCTACGCCTTGGATACACACACACACACACACACACACACGCACACACGCACACAAGCACACGCGCACACAAACACGCACACGCACACAGGACGCCATCCCCCCAGGAGCAGGTGGATGAAACCCCAGGCAGAGCCCACCTTACCTCGGCCCGACACACCCTCTGCATAGTCACTGCATCACGCGTGTGCCCACACCTGTTTTCCCAAGCCGTGCCCCCGCAGGAGGGAGGGGAGCCCGGGCAGCCCGGGCAGAAACGCAGTGAGTGCCAAGGAAGCCCCTGTCCCCTCCCCAGCCTGCCGCCACTCGGAGGAGATCATGCCCCTAATGCGTCCCTTCTCCCCCTGGCAGGGCCCCCCGTGGACGTGGGCATGCGGATCGATGTGGCCAGCATAGACATGGTTTCCGAAGTGAACATGGTGAGTGGTCCGGGCTTACGCAGATGCGAAAGGGGCCGGTGCCCGTGCCCTCTGCGTTTCACTGGCGGTCACCTCGGCCCGTGCGCCCCCCACCCCGGCGCGCACACACCCCGCGGCCCCCGGTTTGTGTGTTCCACGCACACCCGGCTACTGCGGTGTGGTGCTCCGCAGGAGGAAACGTGCGCGGCACTATTTGGGGGGAAAGACGGGTGACTGGCAGCCGTGGATCGGGTGGGGCGGAGTCTGAGCGGTGCTGGAGGAGCAGGGTTTCCTTCGGTGTTCCGATGCGCAGGGCACCATCTGCCGGCGGCAGGCGGCCTGCACTTGGGTGTTAGGACCCTGGTCCCTGGTCCCTGGTCCGCAGCCCCCTTTTTCTCCCAAGTCCGCTTCCCTGCAGCCTGGACCCGGACAAACTCAGTTCCAGCATGGAGTACACAAGCACACAGAGGAGGTTTCAGTGCCCCATCCCTCTTCCCAGGCTCCCAGGCTCTGGCACACCCTGTGGCAGGAGCAACAGGCTGAGACAATAGTCCACGCTTGCTAAATAAGAAAGTGCTCAAGCCAGCGTCTGGGCAGGCTCATCTTGTTCCCAGGTGGTGGTTGGTGAATTTGCCTTGTTGCCTTTTGCATATGTAAGATGAAACAGAATGACTCCGGTTATTGCTTTGTTTTACCCTGGAAATTTAAGCAGCATGCTGCAGAAGCCTGCTGATTAAAAGGATGGTGGAAGGAAGGGGGTGAGAGTAATAGTGCAGTCCTTTCATTTCAAAGGGTTAACATTCTTTTGTTTTATTTTTTTTTTTCTCTCCTCCCTTTCTGAAGCTATTGCAAAAATGGATTGAAATCATATCTGTCAGTTTCTCTATTGGCTGGTTTCAACCACTGAGGGGTAGCAGTTTTCCAGTTGTTAGAGTTTCTAACTGTTGCTTCCTGTAAGGCAGGGGAAAAGCCTGTTGCTTTTCTAGAACCAACCACCTAGGGAACAGCTAGATCTAGGTGAGCAACATGTCATTTTTTTTTTCCCGCTTGCGAAAAATAATATTGTGGCAACAGAAATTTAGAGAACCTGAATAAAGACTAAAACCTTCAGGGATTTTATCTATCTATAGTTGTAAAGGCTATTGAAATGTCCTTTCATTTCATTACCAGTGTGTCATTCTATTTTAACATGCTAAGGTTTAAGAATTTTTTAAAGATTTGGACAGGAAGGAGAAATATGTTTATAATCTATTGAATATGATTATAGTAAGTGTGACTATTACATTTCTGTATTTTACAGTTGTAACTTACCCAACTTTATTTTTTTCTTTTTAAAATTGATTTTAGTAACATTGTGATTAAGCATTTGCATACCTTAGGAAGTGCTCACCCCAATAGTAATTTACCCAGATTTAAATGGCTTATTTAAAATACTATTTTAAAATAAATTATTTAATTATTGTAATGGAAAAGGAAAGCCAATTTTAAAAAAGTAATGCACAATGAGTATTTTCTGATATGGAAAAGATTTTTAATAGACTGACTCATTTAAAATATTTTGTTCACATACATGTCACTAAAACAAAGCAACCCAAAACACAATGTTTAAACATTGAATAGCATAAAACATTGAAACCCATACATGTCATTAAACAAAGCAACCCAAAACACAATGTTTACAAACACTGAATAGCATAATAACATGTGCACATACACAAATCATACTCATGCTATTGCAACTAAACAAATTAGAAAAAAAAAACAAGTAATTTGTATCATGTAGATAAATAATAACATTTTTGTTCTTTTATTTGGCACCTTGTAAGTACCCACATAGGGAATTTGTAAAATAGGAGAAGATTAGGGGAGCTCAAAGGGAAACAGTGCCTTTGCCGGCAGTCAGTATTCTGTTTGGCACATTATACTTTTTAGAATTGTAAAAAATGTATAGTTCTGTTGACTATATTTACAAACACCTTTTCAGGTATTTTACTTTTTATTTTTATTTGAATTGGAAAGGTTCTATTAACCCAAACAACCACCATAAGAAAAACAAGCTCTGTATTGAATTTCATATATAAGTTCAGAAAAATAATTTAATTGCAGTGCCACTGGAAATAGCTCCTAATGATGGAATAATGCAACCTATTTACTCACCGTGCCATGTGTATATGTACTTGCTTTAAAAAATATTCACTGAGCAAGATAAAGCAATGAAAAAAACATTCTACTAAAAGACGAATTACCTTTCCACAGTGTTGTTAGAGCTATATGGGAAAATAAAAGGCACTAGCATTGGAAAATAATAAAACTTGAGTTGCTTATTCTTCTTTGTTTCTCTTTTTAATGAGAGCTACCAACAAGACCCAAGGTTTATTTGATCTTTTCTTTGACAAAACATTGAAATGAATAGATTTGAAATAACTTCAAGAAAAATGGGAAACAAAGAGGAATTTTAGGATTGAGGGTTCTGTAAAAACACAACCTGGATGGTTGACCCTGGTTAAGAGAACGGCCTATAATATGCTTTGGTTTTTAGATAATGTAAGTTGGAGGGGTGAAGGGGGGATATCTATGGAAAATAACACTACTGCTTATTTTATTAATCATGTCTTAGTAGCCTGATGGACAGTAACTTTTGAAGTTATGTAATAAGAAATGTCCCCCAAAATTAATTTAAAAAATAAGAATGGACAAATAATATAATAAAATAGCTTTAAGGAAAATTCAGACAAGAATTCATTACTAAAGCATTGCTCATTTTTATATTCTTATTCATTATTGTTATTTTCCACCCATTCCACAGCGGGGAAAATGACATGATAATCATACATTACATTAATGGGTTTGAAACTAGGTTATGTTAATTTTGTTATTTTTTAAATTATAATATAGTTCCATATTGGTTTATAGCATTGTCTGTTCTAAAGACTAGCATAACATCAAAAATATTTTCTGATTTATATACTTCAGGATTGAAAATATTTTTCCCAAACAAAAACGTAAAATAGCTTTTACAGTCAATGATCTCTGCTATCCAGAATCATACCCTGTTTCCCCGAAAATAAGACAGTGTCTTATATTAATTTTTTCTCCCAAAGTTGCACTAGGTCTTATTTTCAGGGGATGTCTTATCTTTCCATGTGCTAGGTCTTATTTTCAGAGGATGTCTTATTTTCGGGGAAACACTGGTAGTTACTGAGCAGTAAATGCAAAACCTCTATAGAATAACACTAACACAGAAGAAAATATATATACTTAAGAGCAAGGCTTTTCTTTTCAGGAAATAATATTATTGAGTGAGTTAAGAAGGATTTTCCTCTGACATCATTTGATATATTGTGTATGTGCCAGTGACTATAAACTACTCTGCTTCCATTTATTATTATATTAACCTCTCAACAATTTCTGTCAAGCCATACACACACACACACACACACACACACACACACACACACACACACAGAGAGGGGGGGGCACACACACACACTTTCTAGGATGATTAAAAATGAACAGGAGGCAGTTGGGACAAGAAAGAGACAGTAGCCTCCGGAAATTGCCTTAAAGTAACCACTAGCATCTCCTGATGTAAGCCCAGTGAAACACAGATAACAATAAGCAAGTCTTATCTTTGTAGTAGACTGGGAAAACATGATATTAACTACATGCAAAAAAGTGGGTGGACTCTTGTATTTCATATTTCAAGGACTTTTAAAGAGGTGGCTTCTTTTGACCAAGTAGGGATCCATGTCCCTGATCTAAAGACACCATGGCCCAAGTGACCACTCCCAGAAGACTTTACATCTATTGAGTCCTAACTTAAAGTAGCCATTCCCGGTAGTAGATGATTGACAAGTATTCATTTTCTTTCCTTCCTTCATGCATGGATGGATGCAACTGTGAATTTTCTTATAGATTTTATAAGAAATAAAAACAACCAAAAGGAAAAAAAAAAACAGAACTAAAATAAGTCAACTGTATAAATAATGGCTGAAAGAAAAGCAAATATAATTAACTAAACATCAGTGTTGCGAAAGTCCACTGTTGTTGCTGTTGTTATTTTAATGTTTGATTCCAGGTTTCTGGTACACACTTCAGTTTATCTCTAATTACCATCATCTTGGTAACGCAAAATAGTAACCACCTGTCAGAATCACTCCCCTCCCCACCTATTGATTCAAATCAGTGTTTCTTTATCTTTTAAGTGTATCTGAATCACTCTGAACTTTTAAAATATTAAAATGCATATTCTAAATCAGAGATCTGGGATGGGGTTGGACATTCTGCATTTTTAACAACTCTCAGTGGTGCCAATCACTGGTATGTGGACACACTTTGAGCAGCAAAGGCTGCAGTACATTATTCTGAGATTTAGCATTATTAAGAAATGAACGTCTTTTTTTTTTCTGCTAAGTTTCTCTAAGAATGGTATTATTCCAAGGTTCCAAATTAAGTCTCAAATTAATTTCCAGGTAGTTAGACAGGAAGCTGTGTTCAAAAGGGACATTTAGTTTAGTAATTGATGATAAGCAACAGAAAAAGGCAAAAGCCTGGGTAACGGGGCTTGACTTAGACTACTAAGCAGCCCTCCTAACTGTGTCAATACTTATGAGTCAGCCAACCTTAAATGATGGCTGTGAAAATATTGCCAAGCACTGTCATTCTGACACTGCCATCCTGCTGCTTTACAGAACACCAATGACTTCTCTTCTTCAGAATAGAGAACATTGCAAACTGTTTTTGCCCCTATTGCGGCACTTGCAATAGCTTTGTAAAATAGCCTAACCATACTCTTGTTGCTGTCAGTAAATTCTCTGAGGTTATAATAGAATTCCTTTGCAAATAGAGGAAATAGGTCAGTACCATTTAAAGGTAGGAACAGATATCAGCAGTTAAATAACATTTTCTCTTAAAGGAGTAATCGATCAGGTCTCACTTTCAGGTGCTGGGTTACAATATTATACCATCTGGAAAAGCTGACAGAGGAAAAACTTCCCTTTGCCTTTAGGTTTAGAGAGAGC